ATCCATCTTACTGGGATAAGCGTTGCATTGAATGACATGCCTTTTCCATTCCATTTCTCTTCTTGGGACTGTATTTTTTCTTGGTTTCTTCCACTGATCCTCAATTCCCAGACATGAGAGGTCAGAGCTTGGTGCCACACAAATCTAAAATCTCCAGTGCCTGAAGCTTCACCATGCAGAGATGAGTGCAAGACCAGCTTTGCAGCCCGGCCCCTTGCCATCACTGGTGAGCAGCAGGTACCCACAGACCTTAAGTCTGTGCTCCCTTAAATATCCAGTGCTGCAAAGCGGGAGCTGTTTTTAAGCAATTTAGCTCAGATCTCACTAATTTTGTGTTCACTGCCTCAGAGCTAGGTCTGGGCCATTGCCCTTGTCTTTGAAGTCCATTGCATTTGCGATTTTCTTTGATCCTTGCTGTGAAAATGACTGAAATCTTTTTCTCATAAGTTTGTATGCACACAGGCATAAGAGGCCTGAGAACTTCAGTAAAGGTGAAATATCTGACCTTATCTTGACTTTGTTAGGATTAAAGTAACATTAAATAGGATGAAATTATGCTATAACTACCTTGAGAGACTAATGAGGAGGGAGGAATATTACTCTACTGCTTCTATCAATATACTCAATACATTAAATGGCTGTGAAAGAGCTTTGCTAGCAAGCTTAGTGTGCAGGGATCTGAAAATGCCAGACAGTACCTTAGGGTTTCTAAGGCACCTTCTTTAGCTGAGTTTCCAGTGGTGGCACTTGATACCCAATATCTCAAAAGGGACAAAATGTCCCTGAAAAAAAACAAAATGGAAAAAAAAAATCCATTCTTTTCCCACTTTTTCTGAGCAGAAAGGTCACAAAAAAGGGAAAATTTGGTTTTGCTGAAGAAACTCTGTTCTTGCTGCATTCTCCCTGATTTCTGGAATTTCCCAGAACTGTTCCATGCGCTGAGCCACAAGAGAGAAAGAAAGAACTCTTTGCCCCACTATACTGTGCTGATTATCCTGGTTTGGCTGATTTCTTACTCTACATGGCTTCATTATAAAAACTGACTTAGGAAACAGATCTCTGAGTCACTGCATTTAGTTCTTGCAAAAGCCATCCAAAGTTTAGAGGTGATCAAGCAGGGGAACAACGCTAGGAATAATGTGGAAACTGCTGAAGAATAAAATAATGGCATTTCTTCATTTTGATTATATAAGTCTGTGATAAACCAGTTGACAAACCCCACTTGTGATCATCTCCTCTGAAATAGTTAGAAGGGAACAAGAAAGGATGGAGAGCAAGAAAACAGGAGTGTGGTCTGGAAGGAAGAAATGCTCCATACGAGGTAAGCTGAGCAAACATTGGACCCATTGGCTATCCTGCTGGGCTTTCGACTCATGAGTGATATTGAAAACATAACCAGGGAACAATTACTCATCATTGCTCACAATGCACAAAATATTTTCTATACTGAAAAGATTTTTGGTGAATAGCTAAAATAAATCCCCAAATCAAGCTGAATATTTTGCTGCTTTGTAAGTGGTAACTAGGGAAAGAAACTGTATAAGGCTTGCATTTTCATTTGAAGTATTACTGTATGTTTTGATTCATTTGGCTCAGTTCATGATATAATGGAGCATAACTGATGTAACTTGGCTTGATGTGTCTCCTTGTTACACATACTGGAACAATATCTGCAGAAACAGTTGAAATTACAAATTTTTTTCAGACATCTATTTTAAGGATCAGTAACTTCAAACAAGCAGAGCACTTAGGCATATTTTAAAGGCTTATTTCCTGCAATCATGCATGGGTCATGGCTTAATCCTCATCAGAAAGCACACATTTTGGGATCCTGATTACAGAAGGAGCAGTGAAGGAAAGACACAGAAAGAAAAGGAAAATTATCAGAGTTTTCAAAAGGAGCTCAGAGATCTTGCACCCAACCAGCAAATCTTTGATGCTAATTTAGAAGAGAGCTGATTATTTAAAATTCTTAAGGAGGGACCCCAAGAGGCAAAACAAAGTTGATGATTCAAAATATCTGTTAGGAGAATTAATGTCACTGCTCAGCACTGTGTGTCCATATGTGACACAAAGGACAGGCTTTGGAAGAATCAGCTATCCTGGCAGGGAACAGACAGCCTAATGGGAGGAGCAGCTAAATCCAGTATTTCTTATTGAATTACGGGATTTCTTATCACTTTGCAATAAGGTTTTTAACAGTAAAGCAGACCTGTGAATTATTTTTGAGAGAAAGAGTAGGGTGGCTTTGCTTGGCCTAAGCACAGCTTTTGCCAAATGAGACGGGGAGGCAAAAGGATCTTGGTGTTTTGCTTAAGAGAAGTAAAAATACAACAGCTTTCTGCAGCACGTAAGAACTGGATTCCAGACCACTTTGAATAAGTTAAGCAAATAATTACGTGTGAATAAATTAGGAAGAAAAATACTAAATACACTTCTTAATACATGCCATATTTTTTTTTTGCAGCTTCTTAACAGAAGGCTCTTAAAAGAATACACATTGTCTGCATATACTTTCTACAATCACCTCTTAATAGGCAGAATACTCATTTAGTGGATATTTTAAAAACTTATAAGCATCCCTTTGAAGTCTGCGAATATATGGTGGAAGTCTGTTTATTCCTTTCTCTCATACCTAGATGAAGTGGCAAACATCCAAATTTCTTAAGTAATTTAATTTAAGGAATTTGGATATTTGACAGTTGAAAAGGTTTTCATATTTTAAAAATGAAGGGAGTTTCCTTTGCAACACTATTTCATTTACTTTCACATGTCATTAAAATGCCAGTATTTCTGGAGTATAGGAATTTTGAAGATACTCTGTTATTACAAATTAATGTTATTCTTGCTTTTAAGAATGTTTCCAAATGTCCTGAGACAGAGCCTCGTGTTCATTGGAAGCACTCCCTTTCTCCTCACACCTTTCTGTTCAAAGGTTTTGCCAACTGATGTGGTTTACAGAAGCCTCCAGGCTGCTATCATTTGTGCTAGCAGAGTGACCTTGGACTGATCAGGCAAAAAATGAAGGGAGCACAAATCATGCCAGTATTCATCTTCATTCCCACCCTTTATACTCCACTCATTGTCCATAATCACCCAAAATACTCCTCCAGAAACTGGGTTATGGCTGTCCTCCCCCTTCACATTTTTACCTGATGCCTGGTGATGCCCACAGCAATACCGAGGGGTTTCAGCTCCACAGGCATAGGATCTGGCTATTGGCTCTGGTTCAGGTAGATGAAGTGTGGCAAGCAGAAGCAGGATTTTAAGGCCTATTTAATCAGTCCAGTAATTCAAAATTTGATGTGAGCTTGAGTTGTTTATGTACCAGAGAGGATTCTGCTCCTGGAGGGATTCTGACCTTGCTGCCCTCTGTGTACACTGATTATTGGAAGTGCTGCAACCAAACAATGTCTTGAGCAACAGCAGTAATAACAGTGTAAGAAGGATAAGAGAATATTTTAGGAGATGTTTCAGCTGTCTTGCAGGAGAGAGCTCCATGCTGCTGTGGCTGCTTCTCCAACAGTACCTGAACTGTTTAGGTTTAAACCCTGAGACCCACATAATGCCTTGACTATGGCACAGGTATTCCTATGGCAAATCCTGTAAGAAATACTTGACACCTTTTCTCTCAAAGCATCACTGACCGGTCTGTCTAATCTAGGCGATGTATAAGGCTACATAGGAGCCTGGATGCTGTTCAGGTGCTACATTCTCTGAACTCCATCATGATACAAGTCCAACCGTGGTGACTGAGTCTTGCCTTACTGGGCAGCTGGTGGTTGTCAAGGGTGTTTTCAAGCCTTCTGTTGGTGGAGAAAAAGCCAGAAAGGCCAGGCTGCACATTTTATGAAAACTGGTTTGTAAATTCCAGATTCAAATATTTTGATTTTTAAGCTCAAATTTCATCTCACTACTGTGAAAAGCCTGTTACTCCCTACCTGTTACACTCAGAAGCACTTCTGCAGATGAAAACCAACTTTCCATCCTGCAACCTCCCACAGACATATGCACACACATTATGTTCCCAGTTTAATTGCCTTTCAAAACTGTCTTATCTTGGCACAAACTTGTCATTGGTTTATCTCTGCTCAGGATAAATGTATACCTAATCTTATTACTGGATGCACTCAGAGCAAGCAATCTCATTAATAGCTACCCTAAAGGGATTTTTATCCATGGATCAATTTCATAATTGGAACACAGCTACATAATATATAAATATATCCCTTCAATGGCACAGCCGTCCTCATGCTGTTCAGTCTTGCACATCTCATGAAAAAAAAAAAATCCAGGAAGAAAGAATGTATTTTAAACCCAGAAATCCTTCTTGGAAGCTTGTTAAGTGTTCAGATCACACCACAGGCTTACAAGCTTGATTTGTCGGGTTCATGATTGTTACTGGCTATGTGAGTTCTATCGTATTTAGCCTGGATAGTCACTAAGAATAGTTTCCCCTATTCTTGGTGGCAGTGCACTGAACTTTGTATGCTCTTTGTTGTAGCATATAGATTTCTATAATGGGAAAAACCTAACTTGTTAGCTACATCATTTTCAAAAGCAGCAGGAGCTGTCTAGCTTTTAAAAAATTAAATTATGTTCATTATTCCATGACTGCAAAATACCCTGCTAAGATTGTAATAGCTTAAAGGCTTCCTATGCAACTTTACTTCATCATTAAATAATTATACTTTGTGTACCTGAACTACACTTTTGTCGCATCTCAAATACAGGATACTTAGTGAGTAGGAGTCATTACTGAGGCTGAGTGAACTATTCATAATTAAACCTGAACCAAGCAAAACTTAATTTTCCAACAAACTTCCATTTAATTCTATCCAAGCCCTAGCAAAATATAATACACGTTTATTGCACCCAAGCCGCAGCAAGCATTACTCACTTTGGAGTCTGTGGGTTCCCAGCCCCTGCCACACTTCTGCCAGGATCATTACATTTCTGATAAAAAGGGATTACTTTTGTTTCTCCCTCCCACTCTGTAGGCACACAGTGAGGATGGGCATTACTGTGGCTCTTGGAATGCATGCATAAGAAATTAGTCAGTATTTTACAGTTCTACCTATTTGTAGCTGCAAGCCATGCAACTGCACACAAGGTTTTTCACAATGACACCACTGGGCATTGCCAGCCAGCCAGTTAAAATGTGAGAGAAATTATTGTTATAATTCAAAAGGCGGATAGTGGTTTCAGTGATAAAGGTGATAAACTGAAAAACAGCCAGAAGCGTAGAGTTACTGTGTTTGATTATCAGCAGATCCCAAATCGCTCAAAAAAAAATCACATAATCCTCACCCAGCTGCCCATAGTCATCTTACCCAAGGCTGCCAACAGCAAAATATTCTGTCTCTGCCAGTGCGATGGGAAACGGCTTGCAATGAAAATAGAGACATTCATGGATGTGTGTTCTCATTGCAGTTAACGTGGGACTTGGCTGCTGCAGGGCCACAGGACAGGCTGGACTGCACTGACTCCAGAGGCAGTTCTCATGAAGAACTGAAGTGTCCGGGCACTCAGGTAAGAAGCAGGAAAATCCCTGTTTAGATGGAGAGGTCAGAGCCCAGAGTGCGTCAGCTCATCTGAGGCTGCTTGCATCACTTTGCTGTTGGAGAACTCTCCTGCAACTTTATAAGCGCTACCAGAGATAAGAAAGGGAAAATAAAATGACCTCATGTTAGTAACAAGACACCCAGTTTGAGTCATGACGGCAATTCACCAGCAGACCTTCTTCCTGAGGGATGTGATGGATTATCTGCTGCTTGCAGTCTTTAAATCGAATCTTTCCATAACACAAGCTACATTTCAAACAAAATAGCTAACTAAAGCATGCAGGAAAGAAGGAAGGGTTGGAAGGGCAACTGATTGATAGGGAGATTTCTTTTGAGCATGCCATTCAATTGCTTCATTTATATTTCATTAAGCGTGAAATTATGTTTATAATTATATTAGACAACTGTGTGAGAGATATTAGCTCATAAGCCCAGACTGAATTAAAACAATTATTAATTAATTATTATTCTGGGCTTTCATTTTTAATGAAATTATGCTTCTGAATTCAAAGCACTAGTGAAGGCATGTTATTTTACTTTGGAAAAATACCACTCTGATTGGCTCCTGAGTAACTGAGAAAATAGGAGTAGGTGTTATTTAATGCAAACACCATCTCATCCAGGAATGCACTTTGCATGATCTATAAGGAGAAAAGAAGCTCCAAAATGGACAAAAGGAAGAAAATCCTGTCTAGAGGTTGTGCTGTAGGGAGGTGGTGCAGCACACAGGGACAGCAGGGGTGGCTATGCAGCACACAGGGAAACCAGTGAGGAGGAGGCCAAAAGCACAGGAGGAGTTAAAAGAAGAAAGAGACAAAAAAATTATTCAAAGCAGAAAATAATATGCAGCCATGGGAGGTGTGAGAAATTAGCACAGAGCATCACAGCCAGCATCACATGATAACCTGAATGTGTGCTTGAGCCCCTGCAGTGTTCCCCTGCTTAGCCATGGCTTCAGCCAGCACAGTCAGTCCTTGTGACATAGGACTAAAAGTGACATAAAAGACCAGCCAGCAGCCAATACTTCTTGCTAGGATCTGGCCTCATGCACAAACCCCTGTGCAGTGGGAGTGATGGCTCGAAGCAAAATGGGACCTTCTCTGTAGTTTGTGCATATGCAAAAATCAGAGCTGAGAAGGTTTATTTCATCTATAATCTATCAGGGCTATGCCTCCCTATTATATTTTCTACTTCTTCCTATGATATTAATACATATGCAAAAATCACTTGGACTTCAAAAGGACATTCTCAGCTGGTGTAAGAGCTGAGGATATTTTCTGAGGTGTTGCAGATATGGGCAGCTTTCATAAAAAAGCTCATATCTTTAAGGCGGTGCTGTGGCTCACGAAAAGTTCTTCAGTTCACCTTCGTGTATTTTTCTATTTCTTTCCAGATCTCAGTTATTCTGTTAATGATTAAGGATCTCAAGCACTTTAAAACAAAGTTTTCACCTTCAGATACTTTTCTAATCTGTGTGAAAAGAACAGGCTCCTTGCTGGCATTTATCTTACAGTGTGCTCTCTGGCACTCCAACCAAAAATATTTTGAAACACGTTTCTTTTCAGCTCAGAGCTTTGTCAGTGCCAGGCAACCCACTTTTTAGTTTATTTTTAAATGCTGGGTTTTTTTTGGCTTTTCCTTTTCTACTTTCTTTTCCTCTGTGTGCAGCCGACCACATGGTTTCATTCACTGCAACAGCTGATTGCAAAATTAGACAAATACTTTGACTTTGCCCATGGCTTTCATGGCTTCTGTACCTCTGAAGACTCCATTCACCTCTAATTACATGTCCATTGAAATCATGCAGAGAAAGAACAGTGTAAATCGTTAGCCCCCTAAATGAGCGTGCAGCTGAGTAGCTAACAAAGGGATTAACACTTGACAGTAGAAGCATTGCATGCTGAAGGAGAGGGTCATCAGGTGACTGCCTATTACACAGAAATAATTGCCATCCAGTGCTGAGAGGAACTGATGTCCACAGCCTGTGTTTACTGCAAAGATGCATTTTCTCTCAACTCTTACCCTTCTGCTTTATCTGTCTTTACAGAAAACAAGGAGAGCCATTGCTGGGCAGGGAATGGAGAGATGAGAGCTTGGGCAGAGGGAACCAGTGTGGACTGGCTGGGGAGCATGAAAATGGGCTATGGAAATGCAAGGTGATTTGAAGCCCAAGGACATTCAGTAAGAACCTTCCTATTGAACAGAGGGCTTCTGCCCCCTAAACAAAACCCATATATTTTAGGTTTTTTAAATACTGCTTTGCTTAATCTTCCATTGCCATAGTGTGGCATCTTTATACAAAGTTGTTTGTATTGGGGTTGGATTTGGTTGTGGTTTGTTTTTTTTTTAGATCTTTAATAAAGAGAATATAAAGACATAATAGAAATATTTTTCTTCTCCCCCTACCTAGCCTTTTGTTATTTAAAAGCACTTTATGATTCAGGACAGTATCCACACTACAGTGAGAATTTCATAGATTAAGATATCCCCAGACAGCTAATATTTTACCTTTTTTAGAATGCAATTCTTATTCATGGAGCTTAAAAGATCTCTTAATTCTGTGGTCACTATGAAGAAGTACCTATGGAGCATTTAAAAATGCAGTAACAATTACTAAATAGAATAGGAGGCTGAGTTAGAGGATAGTGGTCATCACTGTCATCATGTGCTGTTGATGGATTACTGGATTGTGCTTGCTGAAAACGTGCTACTGCGTTAGCATAATGTGATATGGAATATCCTGTTATGCAATAAGAGTGATCTTGCAGTTTGGAAAGATTTTGGGTAAGACTTCCTGCTGGAATAAATACTCATCACTCTGTTGAAGTCATTGCAGCTGTTATAATTCAAATGGGCTGAGATTTGTTCCCTTGTCTTGAAGCAGACAAGGACAAAGTAATGCCTAATGTTAGGGCAGCATTCAGCACATGTTTGAAGTTGAGCAGAAAGGAGCTTTATGCTGAATTTCTGAGCAGGATGTTTTTTTCCTTTGTGCTCTGTCTTGAACTGTTTGCAATGTAAAACTTGTGTCCCAGTGCATGGCTGGGATTTCCCTGTGAGCAATGTCTGGGGCTGGCATCTGTCTGATTGTTTTAACCTTATCAACAACACATGGTGGAAAACTTTTTGTCCTATTCTGGAAAAAGGTGCCATTCCATAGCAAGTTAGCTCAGCCAAAGTAATTTAACTGGACTATACACAGATAAGTAAGTTTGGCATTTTTAGCCTAATTTAAAGACAGCAGATTTTGTGCAGGCATTTTAAGTTATCTGATGAGCCACTGAGATGAAATATCATAAAGATACATAACTGAGGCTGAGAAAAGACTCAATAGCAGTGGGGTGTATTGTACAATGTGAAAAGGATGTTTATACCCAAACATCACACGCACAACTGAACATGAATTCACATTAGATCAACTTGAACTTCAAACATATATTTATTAGGTACAGATTGAACAACTGCTTTTTAGGTAGTGAAGTACTGATATCACAAAGGTTTTAATCTGATGAAATATCTGACTTCTAAAAACCCAAACATGGCTAATATTTTCAGCAGCTTTTTGAACAGCAACACCTGAGCACAGGTGATGATACTTAATAGTCTGTTATTATTAATGTCTTTTTTGGTCTTATTTCTTTCTGTACCTTTAGTGGCATGTCAGTTTTGCCATGACAAGCCCTGTAGAAATTTGTAACGAGTGAAGCTGAAGACATGAATCCACTTCTCTGCTACTGACATTATAATACTTCATTACAGAGCATCGACAGAGCATATGAGGTGCGTGCTGGTGCCCAGGACCCAGGGTCAATAAGCGTGTACAGTCACCACATTCCCTGTGCACGTGGCCTCTGCCCAGCTGAACAAGTAGTTGTCACTCACATAGCAGCTCTTTCCACCAAGCACAGTGGAGGAATTCATGAGCAAAGGCTGAAGGAAAAGCTACGGAAGAAGTGACTATGGGAATAATGGGAAATTTATGCATGAGTCAATGGTTATCCCACAGACCATCTTCCATTCACTATGGAATACATCTGATGAAGTGACATCTGGTTAGTATATTTGCCTGATTATTTAGTTCTCTGCATCACTTGGAGCAATGTAATCTCTCTAATTGGTGCGCAGAATTTTTTCCAGTATGGTTAAAATAGCAGATTCTGTGTTTAGCTTCTTTTATGGTTGTTTTTGCTATCAGCCCCAGAAATCATGCAAAAGAAATGATTTTGTCTAATTTTGGTTTTATTCATTCACAGACTCACCATATTTGCAGCCTTTGAAATAATATTTAGGTCTACATATAGAGGAAATAAAATGCCTTAATTAATTTTCTGCATCACTGAGATGGAGCTTCAGTCAAATGGGGAAGGCGGATGTCAGAGCAAGCCATCCTAGAACCAAGCCTCCAGCACTATTTGGGAGCAAAAGGTAAAATGAGACAGTAGATGAGATGCAAATGCTAATTATAAGAGCTTTTTGGATGAGATAAGCAAATCTCCTTGTAATCTTAAATAAATCTGAAGCTTTCATGCTGTGTTCTCACCCCATCCTGAGTCCATCATGCATTTGCATTTTATTTCTGAAAACATTCCTCACTGCATTTTGATGCTTCAGGCAACAGGAGATGAAAAGACTTTTCTTTAGTGTTAGTTGTTAAAACCCTAAAGGTTATTTCCTGAAGATAAGAGGGTGGTCTCTGCCTTCACAATAGCACAGATTTTCTTTAATATAAACAGACCTGTTTTTAAAGGCTAGCTAGTAATGATCCCCTCAAAGATGTCTGGGTCTTTCAGAGCTAGACCTACAAATCCATCACTTGGCTGGAAAAGCTCTTCATCAGGAACATGCTCCAAAAAGGAAGACTTGGAGACTGAGTAATAATGTGAGTGTGCTAGAGGTAAAGTAAGCAGGGTGGTATCATGGGTTTTCGTTGGGCTTTTTTTGTTGTGTTTTCCTTTTTTGCTATAAGTGGCTGTATTATAGCATGGATACTACTGATGGGATTAATATTTCTCAACAGATTGTATATGCAGTGTTAGACTTTCTCATACTCCAATTTCCTCAGGAGGCTCTTATTCCGGTCTGTCTAAACAGTTTAGCAACATTCATTAGGCCTCCTGACACCCCAGCTATTGATTAAGAGAGCTTTCGATGCCCACTTCACAGAAGCGGTCATCCTGAAATGCATTTAGTTGATGAGAAGTGGGCAGAAAGGGCTGAAGTATCCCAGGTTCCAGGACAGCAACAGACATCATAAAGAGGTTAAGAAAAAATTTCCTTTGCATAAGGACAAAACTGAAAGTGGTGATTTTGAAGAGCTTGGAAATAGAAAGACATGACAATAGTCTTCTAATTCTCAAAAAGTCTGCAAAGAAGGGGTGTCTGAAATATTGTCCAAGTCACCAAAGGGGCAAGAAAAGTGCCTGGCTCCACATGCAGCAAAGGTTTAAATTAGAGATTTGGAAAAGCTTCCTAACGAAGGATACTTAATTACTGAGTCTGGCTGCTGAGGAAAGTTGTAAAGTCTAAGTTATAAAGGACCAATTAGAGTAACGCCTGTCTGGAATGGGCACAGCAGGATTCTGCTTCCATGCAGTGAAAATGGACTTAAAGTCTCTATCATGCTGTGGTGCTATTTTGTATCTCCCCAAAACCCCACTCTGGTCCCAAGATTTCATTTTTGCTAGACACATATGTCCCTAGACTGTATGCAGGTCGTCTAAGCTCAGCTGTGAGTGCGTTCAGTCTGTCTCACTTCCATAGCACTAGCCTGTCTGGGAAAAAAAACCACACTGTAAACCTAAATTATGTGAGATCAAAGTCATCTCATGAGGAAGTCATGCAGATTGAAATTAATTTCATTATTCTGAGTAGAGCAGCCAGTGTTCCCCAGGGAAAAATGCATCTTCTTGCCTCTTGAGCTGGTACCCTAGCTGACCTAGGAATGTTGGAGAGAGGGTATTTCCCTACAGTCCTCAGTGAGGTATGCAAACGTTCTCCTGGTTTCCACAGACACTGTGAATGCATTAACTTTGAATGGTTCCCTGAACTGACTGATTCGGTTTCTTGGTGCATTGTATGAGATGTGTGGATATGCATTCACAACTCTGGATTCCTCTCTGAAAGCCAGGATCCTTCATGCCGAAGTCAGTGCTGCTTCCTAGGGTTCTAAATCCCTGAATTTAGTCTTAGTCATGAGTTGCAAGAATGCTATCCAGCATTGTAAGTAAGTCAGCAGCATCCCCCAAATAAGATGATAAAGCAGCTGTGTTGGCTCTAGAGCAGCTTAACTTTAAGCTTCTGAGTATGATGAATTATTGTTTAAGGAGATGTATTCATAATTCTGTTCCTTCCAAGCAGGTGGTTGATATTTTGAGAGCCCTGCTGTATCAGCACTATGTATATTTGGCACAGAAACTGCATGAATATTATAAATTCTATGTTTAATTGGGTCTCATAAAGAAATCCTCTAAATCATAGTCATCCCATCAAACAAAACAGGAAATTGACATGGTGAGGTATTCCGTAACATCACTTCTTTTTTCCCCTAAAGGTTAGACAAAACTTTGTTATTTTCTTAGAAGAAAAAAAGATGAGAGAGTCAAGTATCTTTGATGTAGTCCTATTTATCTGAAAGTAACATAAAATCCTAATTCTTAGCACAGAAATCAAGTAATGTGAGAAAGTACTTTTATATACAACACCAAGCCTCCCTGAGCTAGCACTCAGCCAAAAAAAGCTCTCTGTTTAGGCTTTCAGCAAGACCACAGTGCCACTATTCATTCAGGTTGCAGCCTATCTTTCCAGCTTCTTTATATCTTCCTTGAAATATTTCTGTATCTCTGTCTCATGTATTTTTGGCATAAAATATCACAGTATCATCGGCTATACATTAGGTGGTAATACTCCTTCATTGACATTTGTGAATGTTAGGTGGCATTGTATGGTGGGGGGTGAGAGTTGCTGTTGTTTCAACACACTGGGGCTGCAAAAATCCTAATGTGCTCTGTTTTTCCTGAATAAGAGTTCTTTCCATAGAACTATGAGGCTATGATAAAGGGACTAAGTCATAATAAATAATAGAGAGACAGCTCAAACGTGTGTGAGTCTTACCTAATAAATAAGGGTAAAATACACATACCAATGCAAGTAGAAGGAGATTTATATTTAGTTTCCTTAAGTGGTTTTGAATCTGTACATGACTGAAAGTGCTTTCATTGTTAACGTATTGACTTCTCCATGCCATTTGATTCAAGTGAAGTACTATTTGCACCTATTTTATCTATAGTACATCTATTACATCAAATCAAACCAGAGGCAAGAGACTTGTACTAAAGGAATGCAGTTCCTTAGTCAGCTGTATCTGGCAAACTGAATAGAGGGATTGGGGTTTGATTTTGGCACCTGACCTGCTTTGGCATCTTTTGCCTGCAGAGAGTTTGTCATGGGAGACAATAGCTTGCTACAAGGAGCAAGAGAGAGGCCAGTGAGCCTGCTGGAACACTCACTAAAACTTGTGCATGACTGCATTTTCTTGACAGGCTGCTTCAAGTGCTCCCTAGAGTTATTTGATCTGGTCCTCCACACCCTGTTCACACAGCTTCTCTATACTGCTCTTACTGTGGAATTCATCACAGGCTATTTTATCTGGGTGACAGCTGAGCATACACAGGGTTTCGAGTCCATGCAGTGCATCTACAAATAGTCAGACTGCTGTACAAGGTCCCTGGCCTTGCTTATCAGAGTGGAACGGCTGGGAGTGCCTTTCTTGATAGGCCAAGGTGATCCTGAAGCATTGCACCCCAGGCAATTGTGAGTCCTAGCATGCAATAGGCAATCCGTGCACTTACTTGTCACATGTGAGGGAAAGGTCCTATTTGAGATTGTTTGCAGATCTGTGTTGAAAAACCTCTTTGATACGAGTGGATTGTTCAGGTATGGCAAGAATTGTACTTGTGATACCATTTGAACATGACAACTGTGTTGCACAGTACAATAGCAATGTTAAAGAAAAGCCACTCACATTAGCAGCTCTCATGCTGAGTGTAAGGGAAACGCCAAAGCAAAGGGTGATCTTCACTCCATCTGCCCTGGTTTTCGTCCTCTAACACAAATGAAAGCTAGTGACAAGTTGCAGTTGTGTCTTTCAGAGATGTCTATTTTGATCTTGTTCAGCAGCAACGTGTACCCCAAATCCATAAATCTCCAGAAGTTTCAGGAAGAAAAAATTACAGGGGATCAAAAGGAAGCTGGCAAGAGGACAAGCAGGGGAAATGATGCCTGCTGCTGGCTTTCAGTTTGCTTAGGGAAGTGGGAAATGGGCAGCACAGTCTGAGAAATGAATACAGTTACACTTAGTAAGATATGTGGTTTACTGTTTTTTCCCTCTTATCCAAAATGATCCAAGACAAAAATTGGCCCAACAGCTCACTGTGGGGGAGCAGGAGTGCTGTTTCATGCACCAAAGGGTTCACTGCAAGTATGAATAACTATAAAATTAAGTAATAGTGACTAAGATCCTTTGAGCAGGCAGGATTTTATGAACATGGGTGAAGGAGACCTGAAATGTATTGGAAAGACCATGCCCAAATGGAATTTTCACATTTTTCCATTACACAGAAGAAAATATGTTGGCCACCAGAAAACAGACTGAGCTTTATTGCAATAGAAGTCAAGAAGTAACTCTCTGAAGCCATTGGTATAAGCTAATTAGGTATGAATATACTTTAATACGCTAACTAATACCTGCACATGGTTTCCTGTCGATTTCAGGGGGACTATTTGTACAGCAAATTACTGCTGTGTGGGAGTAAGTCTATGAGTATCCAGGTTTCTGCTAAAATAAGATTTCACGTCCATTAGACTATCCAGGAGCTACAACATTGCAACATACTGTATTACCATGCACTGAAGATAGGTCCTTGGGAAATTATTCAATAGATATATGGAGGAGACCAATTTCCTCAGCAACAGGAAATCTCTCAGGCGCTGCAGTTTAGGTGACGATTCAGCTCTTGGAGTAGAATCCATTTAACTTTGGATTTGGAAAGGACAATGCTGGAAGTTAGGGAGCAGCAGATTTATGTGTCACTGGATTATAATGTGGAGGGTATTTCGCAAATAACCTGTCCTCTGAAACTGCTGACTGTAAGATGCTTTAGGAATAGTCACATTTTGCCACAAGTACAGAAAGCTCATCTTATCAGATGACTTAACAATGCATCTCACTTGCATAAATGAAACATTTATGTTCTCATTACAATTATGAGAACATCTTTCAGTTATTATGCTACCTGGCAGCAAGGTGAAGGGTGTTGATCCAGGCCTATGGTTTGTTTACAAACCATATTTATATCATGACTCTTAGTGAGAGCCTTTTTGGGGAAAAAACAGAGGATATGAAATGCTCTTAGACATTTGTCCTGGGTTCAGCAGTAGCAGTCATTTCTCTCCTTCTTAGTAGCTGGTGCAGGGCTGTGTTTTTGACTTTCAGCCTGGGAACAGCGCTGGTAACATTGACGTTTTTAGTTGCTGCTCAGTAATGTTTACTCTGATCAAGGACTTTGTGAGTCTCATGCTCTGCCAGGGAGGAGGGGAAGCCAGGAGGAAGCAGAGACAGGACACCTGACCCAAACTGACCAAAGAGGTATTCCATACCACAGCACGTCATGCCCACTATATAAACTGGGGACAGACACCCTGCTCGAGTCAGGCTGGGTATCAGTCAGCTGGTGGTGAGTGGTTGTATTCTCCTCCCTTGTTATTTCACTTATTATTATTGGTGGTAGCAGCAGTGGTTTGTGTTATACCTTAGTTACTGGACTGTTCTTATCTCAGCCCATGGGAGTTACATTCTTTCGATTCTCCTCCCCATCCCTTCGGGAAAAAGTGAAGAAGGTGGAGAGTGAGCAAGCGGCTGCATGGTTCTGGGTTGTTGGCTGGGCTTAAATCATGGCAGCATTAAACAAATGGCTTCATAAAAAAAAAAATGCTTTGAAGTAAAATGTTCAAAATGTCTTAAGAACAAGGAAAAACAAGCACTTGGGTCAGTGAACTGCTCTGAAGCAAACTATTTCATATTGCTGTCATAATAGGAGCTGAAGCAAGGGGCAATCTCCCTTAAGAAAAACAAAATGAGAAATCATGGGCGGCCACTCCTACTCCAAAGAGTTTCATGTGGTTTATGCATGGGAAACTGAGAGAGGCTGAGTTTTTCCCCTGTGAATCACAGAGCCCTGGCTGGCTTTGGGAACAGATTCAAGATTTCCACATTCTCTATTCAGTCCTGCCATTCTTTCCCCAAAAGCTAGGTCCAACCCTGGGTCTGTAACTATGCTAAAGTCTCCAAACTATAGCTTTGGTAACTTTTCCAGTGCTATAAAGCATTTACTCCCGACCTGTTCTCTTACCTTCAAAGAGGCAAACCAACAGTATGCCCTGGGACACCATCTTCTTAATTCTCTTTCCACCCTTCTTGCAGCCAATTTTATTGGTATTGGATGGAAAGAATTGTCTGTAAGCAGGGACAACGCTATTGCAGGTAAATTTAAAGAAGGAAAAAAATAAATTTCACAGCTGGAAGTACTGCTGAGAAACTGGAGATCTGTTACTACTTAGGCAGAAGACCTCGCACCAATGTCCTTTTAAAACACTGCAAAATGCATGCTGCTCTGCAGCCACCAATTCCAACAGCAAGTGGGCAGCCATTGAGAACATGACTAAGTGCTGCCTGCCTCTTCTCAAAGGGTGATTTGTTTCCACTAATGCAGAAAATGAGTATTGTTCTATTTTGTTTCTGTGTCTTTTCATGTATGCAGCTATCAATGGACTATCTGGGCTCTTTCACATCTCAGAAATGGTTTCGTCCTATTATCACTCTATAGCATTGAATTTTAACATCATGATTTCATTTGTTGCAGCATTTATGGCATTCAGTTGTCCTTTTTTTCTGAGGTTTAGAGAGTTGTTTTATTTCCTCAAACTCAGTGACAAAATCTACCCAAAGCCAGAGCTGTTCCTTGTGTTCTAAATACACACATGAAAAATACGAGCCAATTAGTGCTAAATTCAAATGCGAAAGGAATAGCCATTATTTTTAGGTTATATGTACACACCACTTGCTTCCTTTACCGTTTCTGAAGAAAGATCAGCCGCTGCGTGCTGTTAGTACCACTGAGAATACTAAAAAAAGCTGTCACAAAATGATATCTTGATAAAACAAGACGACCTTTAAAATTGACGCTGTGGAAGCAAACCAGCTAAAAAATGGTTCCAAATGCACACAAAAAGCTCTGCAATGAAAGGAAAATTGATTACTCTCATATTCTTAATTATATTAAATGATTGATACAATTAAGGTAGGTATTTTAAAACAGAGGGACTTCAGAATGTGCTGGCTACACTATTCATTTCCGAGTGAACTTTTGTTTTTTCCATATAGGAAACAATGCTGGAGGTTTTTGATTTACACATGCTTTTGATTTTCCCACACCTACTCTAGAGCCAGGATGAACATTTTCACAGCAGTAATTGATTACTAACGGGTCACTTTAAGCCATGTGGTCTTCCTTCCTTGTAATTACGGAGTGGCTCTATGTCCATATCCATTTAAAAGGTTTCTAGCAGCAGACAACAGCTGGGGGTCATTCTTGTTACTCCTGAGTAATCTTGTTTGGTACAAAATATCAGAATCTGCAAAGGAGCCGTCCACTATTTCAAGGTTTCTCTGCACAGAAGCTCTCACGCAGAAAAGAAGAATCATTAAAAAATCATGACAACCCCCAAATGCGTGCTAGCATCAACTGTATTTTCTTCTCTCCACATTCTAGTCTTGATTTTGCAATTACACACAAGTGGACATAAAGAGTTTGAGGCAGGGTCAGATTTTAGTTATGTTTTTGCATAATGCCTTAGAAAATGAATTCCTAATCCCCGATTCTGGCTGGGTAGGTCATCTGCCCTAAATATAACAAATAACATGAAAATTCAGGCTTTGCTGCTGTTGAAAAGAAATGAGATACTGTGAGGATGAGCAGAGTTGAGGGGAGGGTGCATGACCTTTTCAGTAATCCCAGTTTGGATCTATAGATTAGATCTATTGTTTTTGAATATATTACCACAAAAAAAAAAAAACCACCAAACTAAAATGAGTCAGAAAATTCACAGCATCAGAATTACAGGGTTAAAATTTGAATTAGGTAGTGGAAACAACTCAGTGGGAGGGGGTCTGTTATTAATTGAATCGAAATCCTGCTCACAGCTAAACATCTTGTGAAACATCCAGCTATGTTTTAAATGTTAGTCACATTCAGGAAGGCTTTCTTGGCTTGCATGGATTGGAAAGGCAGGTGGAGGGTAATGAAGTGACTGAAATGGGAAGTTAAGACCCCCATCTGTTGACAACTGCAGGATTCCCATGGCCAAGGAACTGAAGCAGGAAAATCTTGCCCAGAGTGTGACATGGCAGGAAACAAATAAGGTTTCTTGTGCACTCCACATTAGTTACTTTTGAAAGACCTGGGATTGAATCACAAGTAACTAGCTGATCAAAATATCCATTATATCCTACCTTCACATTCACTAGTATTGGCATAAAGATTTTCCTGGGGAAAAAAAGTTAATATTGATGTCCTTCAGTTGAGCTGTTGGTGAACTGAAATCACCATACGCTTTCTGGATTCAGGGAACTCCTTGGAAGAAATCCTATTGCTTGCTTTCTTTTTCCTGGAAGGATTTCTCCCCCTTCTCCTCCCTCTGAGCCCCATGCTATACCCTGAACTCCTGCTTAGCCAAATGAAACTCACCAATGGGATTGCAAAAGGGAGAAAGACAGACTGTTTATCTGAAAAACTACCTAAGAAAAGAGTAGGAAAATTCTGGTTTCTCCATTCCAGGGCAATAAGGAGAGGAAAAGAGGGTTCCCATGACCCAAAACTGTACAAAAGATTAATTTTTACCTCGTCAGGAGGGCATCCCTGATGTCTCTTTTCCTGCTGGGCTTTCTGTTTCTCAGGGCCACATGCAAAATCATTTGCTTACCTGTCTCAGGAGACTGAAGGCTAGAGCAAACTTCCCATGCAAAGGGGGTCTGAACGTGGTGCTATATATTTTCCTACTAAAAGGGGATTTTAGATTTTCAGCCCCCAAAACTTGGTGGTTCCCACAGTCCTTTGAATGTGGGACAGTTAGCAGGCAACCAAAATTTAATCTTCCTTGAAAGGCCAAAATTTCCACCTTGAATTTCTTTCTTTGTCCCTATCCTATTTGTATCTGTGTTTAATAGCAAAGGGAAAACAAAGAGAGGGAGTTACTTGAAGAATTTGAATTGGGATGTCTTTACTGTCTTCAGCTTAATCCATTTAAGGACATCAATATTAAAACAGGGAAAAATCTCTGATGAATACACAGGGATTTCCAAAGCAAATGTTGCATGCACAATTCAAGATTTTTACTCAGGGTCTGATTCTGAGAAGTATGGCAAGCATCCAGTATCCCTTTCCAATACAAGTTTAAAGTGAAGGAGTCTAATAAGCAACTCTGAGATGATAAGATTAACTCTTTGATGTTAAAACTCTGATGAACTCTTCCTGTCTGGGGACGAGCAGTTTGTGTTGCCTTTTAGTAAAAAATAAGTAATGTTAAAGAAGTATTTGTTATTAACATCATTGCCAGGGAGCTCTGGAAACACTGAAGAACAAATGGTCCTTGCCACGGACACTACTTTGAATTAATAAATTAGGAATAGGTTTTCCCAGGAATTTACTGACAGTCTCACAGAAACACCCTCCAACTTCTTGGATAACCACAACCCATATAACTAACCTGTTTTTCTTAACCTCAGAGCTGATTGTGTATGGCACACAAATCATCCCTGAAACTAGACTGGTACATACTCAGATTAATGTATTTTTTTGATCTATGTACCTTAGTGCTTCATACAGCTCCATCTTCTTTATAAAACTATCATTAATTTATCTGAAGTAGCAGCTTCTTCTCTTTTGCTAGTGCTACCTGTTCGCTATGTTATGCTATCAAATTGACTGACTGGAGTGCAGTCCCTTGGCCTTACATAGTGGAAGAAAATAAATGGTTGCCTTTGCATGAAGAAGGAAACAAAATGTTCTGCTTGAGGCTTATTTATTCCTTGTTGAATAAACTGTCCACTTTTAAGGTGTATTTACAAGTGCAGCCTGTGCTTTCAGAGAGTTGTAGGATTTGGTCTGCCATGAATACAGGAAAAGGCAATAATTCTTTGCAACCTGGCAGCACCGATTCAGTTGAAACTTTGAAGTAGAAAGAAACTGCATTTTAGAAATGGCCCACCCAAAGTAAAGCCTTTGCTGTGTGTCCGTCCTTCCTTCAGCACTTTGGAGCTTAGTTCAAAGGCAGCACTACAGTTCCTAGGATAGCCCAAGTCAAGTAGATTAGTGAGCAATGCAGGTGGATTTGAAGCTCTGAACATCTCTTTCTATTCATTTTATTCTATTTCATTATGAACTTGTAAATTATATAAAAAATATAAATAAATACACTGTTCCTACAAAGCAGGACATGTCTTCCCATCTCTGCCTATCTGAACACACAGCCTGTGTGCTGCAGCTCTCTGTGTGTTCAGACAATTAGTGCTGTGCTTTGTATCTGTGTTTGGACCGTATGGCTAAATCTCAGCCCATATGTTACAACAATGCTATTGAAGGTGATTTGGAAAGGCACCCTAATTAAACAACACAGTCGGCTAGCTAGGAAATTCACCAGTGTGACTTAATATCACAGTATGAGTCAATTTGGAGAGGTGGTTTTATCTGGGGGAGCTCAAGGCACGTTTGATTTTGATTGCTGAATTAAGCATGCAAAATGGAGAATCCATAAGCATAGGACCATGTTTAAAAAAAAAAACCAAAACTTACCTGTGGGATTTAAACTTCAGTTTTGTGTGCAGACCATCCATAGATATGATCTAGAGGAAGACATTCTAGGTCTGCATATAGTTACCTATGGCAACTCTGACAAGATCACTGATCTGAATTCAAATTCACATCAACTTGCATTGCATAAATAGAAAATCCAAAAGAACAGCTTCCAGTGCAATTTACTGCTGAATGTACTTCAGATATCACATAAACTGGCTGAAATGAGGCCAAAAGTTTGCAGAAGATTTGTACCTTTGATGTTCTGGTTCAACAGGGGTGGCAGAGTAATCCAGGGAAATGCTGCACTGCAGTACCTCTTCATTGCTGAGGACCTATAAAAACTAGGACCCTAACTACACTACTGCTTCTCTTGGAATTGCAATAATTAGCCCAGTCCAGGTCACAAATGAAAGCTGTAAGCCATCTTCTGCAAGATAATGGGTCATCAGGTCAAGTCCAATAAGCATTAATGCACAGTAATTTTCTACTGCCCCAAATTCAAACTGATAGCACAGCTGACTCTCGACTGTAATTCAGAGGTATAGAGAAAGCACAACATTCCCCCACTTGCAAGGACAAGAAAGAAAACAAACTGCAAAAATACAGGGGCTGCTGACCTTGCAAAACTATGGTTGCTCCAGTCAACCTCTTTTGACTTGATCTTCACCCTCACCTTCAGTAGGAGTGTTTAGAATCAGGTCCCACTGGCACTCACAGATATTGGTGCTTAGATTGGTTTTGGAGCTTTCTCTTTCTGAAGTTACTGAGTAATATCTTAGTTCTATTTATTAAACACTTTAATTCTTTTAAAGGAAAAGGAAAAGCACAATAGGAACTATTACAGAAGTAACCTGGGGTGACATTTTATCCTCCTTCTGTCATGAGCAGAGAGGCAAAAGAACCAGAAAAGAGAGAAATGAGCCATAAAAAAAAAAAAATGAGCACAAGATGACACTTGGATCACTGCATGTCGGAAACGCCATACAGGACCAGAACATCGTCTTCAGTCAGCAATATCAGTTTGTCAGCGTCTTCACCATTGTTTAACTGGACACAGCACTGCTCAATTATCACCTGTCCATCCCATCCTAAAAATGAAGTTAAACTGTCATCAAATTATTGGAATTCTTGACTGTTTTATACGCTGGCCACCCTGTCACTGTCATCCCCTGCATCACCCCTGTGCCCTGTGGGATACAAGCATTTCAGGTAAGTTGCAATGCGAGATCTATTGAACCCCAGGGACTGGATAACTGAGGGAGTTTTGGTAATAGCTACAATAAATATACAAAGAAATTCTGAAAAGGAAGATTCAACCAGCATGTGCTAATATGAGGGGTTTTCCATCCTCATAACCTGCTTTGATATTCCCTTTACCAAAACCCTCTTGCATTTTGCAAAAGATATGCCCAACATTTTAACTCATCCTAGATTCCAGCTGGGATCAGACACTGAGGTTCTCAGTACAGCAGCTACATATGAAAACTTGCCAGTTCCTGGAAAAATCAAACCAAATCAAACCAAAAACACCCCCTAGAAACAGCCTGGATAAGTTTCTTCTTTGCATTTTTTCTATTGCAGCCTTTATTAACCTGCAGCATGAGATAAATTATATGTGTATTTTACAGTGATCTTGGTATCCAACACTTACTTGCTTGCAAAAGTACTAACGAGTTGAGGGAACCCCATCAAGAGGCATCACACTCATGGAGAGAAGGTGGAATTAGAGTAGGTGGAAGGAAAGAGCTCCTTTTTGAAGCCTGTAGCAGCTCCACCAAGGAGAGACTGATGAGTAGCTATTTGTATTATTCTGGGGGAATTCCCTTGAGATTTTGGTTGTACACAACCAGTTTAAAGGGTGACAGTTTGCTCCACTCTCTTTCTTTCCCCTTCTCACAAGTTCCTAAGGAAGGCACCAACTTCAGCTGACTCCTGCTGGTTTGTGCAGCAGGAGTCAAATCCCACAGCAGCTTGTCACAAACCCCAAAGCACCCACAGACATCTGCAGAAAAGACACTTGTTACAGCCAGCCAGAGGTGGGTAGTGTGCATAATCTTGCCAGAAGCAAAACTCTTGCTAATTCTCCTATTTCACTCCACACATTATTAAACAGAAAATACCAGCACAACACAAAGCTCATAAAAGAACAACAACACAGAGACATTTCTAAGATGCTGGGGGGGGGGGGAAGGGCTTTAGGTTCACTTTAAATAATTACTCAAATCCTGAAGGAGCAGCAGTATGTACTGTGCCTCTACATCTATCTATTATTTCTGTCTCCTGTGCCCTTGGTGAGCTATCTAAGCAAGGTAGCAGAAGGTTCATCTGAAAGGCATGGAAGTTTTGCATCTAAATTTCCCTTCAATATGAATTTGTGAGGACCGAGTCTTTGAACAACACAGTCACCTGGGTTTATTTATTTATTTATTTTAATCTGATTTCTTGCTTGCTTCTTTATGTTCTCTGCAACAGCTGGCAGTACTACTGCCAGATGCCATCAAAGTCTACAGAGTATTAAACAGGCTAGCCTTAACCCTGGGCTTGAAAGAGTGATGATGTCTCAGCAGAGGAAATAAGTGAGACAGAAGGAGCTTGTCAAAGAGTTACAACTTCAAACTAACAAAATAACAAACCTGAGATTCAAAACACTGCTTAGTAGCTCCAACACCAAGCAGATGTACACACCTACATTTTTGTAGTTTGTGTTCTTTCACGGCAATTAATTTTCTTAAGCAATTCTTGGACTTTGCAAAAGACTTAGCTGAAAATATCCGAATTGTGTAGGCAAGGAAAAGAAATGGGTCTGGACAAAGATTTGTTATTTTGATGAAGAATCCAGTGTGGCAGGTAGCCATGTCCACATTGGATACGTCTTCCCTCTGCCGAGGATAAAGCATGCTTTTCTAGAACAGAAATACCCACATGAACATCCCAGGTTACACCCTCAGGTACACCCTCTCTTAACCAGATCAATGGAATTGCAGTCTTTAGCCCAAGCTCAGAGCGAGGCTCAACCACCACCATAACTATGCATCCTAATGTCTTCTCTGCTCCATCAGAAACTGGTACAGTGACACCTATCAGTGGCAGTAATACGGTCTAGCAATATCATTTTCCAGCAGCTGATTCACAGTGATTTGCACTCCAGAGGATTCTGGAAGTTTCCACAGGGTCCTTGTGGAGTTACCCATTTTGATTCCTTCTCTCAGATGCATCTCATGGTGCACTATTGAAGCTAAGTGGCTTGAAGTTAGCAGAGGATTATTTCCAGGATATTGGCTATTCACTAAGAGTTAAAGCTGATGCAGTGGCTGCTGAGAAGCCAACTGGAATAGGTAATGATAAGGAGCTGAAGCCAAAGCAATGCAAGCCAACAGGATCACTGGAAGCCAGCAAGAGCTGTCTCTGAGGACTGCCCCACTGCACATACATTTGGAGCACAAAAAGGGAAAGGAGTAGATCAAGGGCCATGAATCAGCCTAGCTGAGTGACTCTGGGAACTTAAACATTGCTGCACAACCAGAACTTTGCCTTATCATATCCAAAGCTCATTAAAGCAAAATACTGCAAAATGGCAGAGAAACAAAGTCTGATCCAAATCAATATTTGGAAGACACTGTTGACAAAGAGCATAATATATATGCCAAGCACCCTCTTAGGAACAGACCAATTTGGTGCAAACATTCCTGAATAAGAGATAGATACATTTATAAAAATGTCACTGGGTTTCAGAGCAGCACGAGAACTCCTTACTTTATCAGTTTCCAGGCACAACTCAATCCTCCCCTTTCTCTCTTTTGCCCCCTATGACCAGTTAAGAGCAGCCACCCCTCCTCGGTCTCTCCACAGGAGTTAATCCATTCATCTGTTTTATGCAGACACTGGGATTGCTCTGAGAGTTTCCAAGGTAGACAGAGAAAGTGGAAATAAAAAGCAGCTCCCTGCATGATTTGTGAAACATGCAAAATACAATAGCAATAAAACCAGTAATGAGTTCATTACAATAGAAATGGTCTCATTAGCAGTGCAAACGCCAGTCATAGATGTGGCCAGGTTCCTGATGGTGCAGGGAGTCTTTTAAACACTGCCCTTCCCTGCTCCAGCAATATAAATCCAAATTAAAAACATATAAATCCTCAAACCCTTGGGATGCTGTCCATCCCTTTGCTACCCCAAAATGTGACTGTGAAACAGCATATGGGGTTCAGATGCTCAGTGAGGTAGTGATACACAGGGAAGCGTGCTATCAGCAGAGGTCCTTGCTGTTCAGGCTTTCACTACCCCAAGAGGAGGGGAAAGAGAACTCCATTTGCTGGCAGGAGATGTCTGGAGGAATGCAGTGGGAAAATGTATTTGGAAATACTTTAAGTGGGAGAAAACCAGTTTTCATCAAAATGCTGGTAATGAATTCAGGGCATTTGCAGATGGATGGCAGGAATGGGAATTATAGAACAGCATCAGAGGTGTTAGGCCAGTGAGTTGGGATGCAGCATACAGATTGTGCATGCTCTGCTGCTTGACACATACCTCTCAGGAAGATGCAATGAAGGATGATGGTATTTGCCTGTGGCTGGAGCATGGCTTCATCTCTTCACCACAGCCAGGTGGTGTGGTTTCTTTGCTTGCAAAGTTACAGGCAGAAGCATCGCTATAGCTGAGAACATGCTGTTCAATGGTCATACTGGGGGAGAAAGAGCAGCCAGCAGATGGGACAAGACTGGGACAAGCATGGGAATGGCATTACTCTGGGGGCCTGGGAAACATCTGCAAAGGAAACTCGGTCACTAATCCTGGTTACACCTAGATTCCATATTGTGCAGGGACAGAGAGTGCCCAAGCTTGGAAAACCGGCATATTAATTAAAAAGAAAACATTCATTTTACTCTTTATACATCTATATAATGTCTACACATGCACCACTTGAAAGAGAGGGCTGAGGAACTTGTATCAATGCACTTACCTGTGTACATAAGATGATCTTCTTAATTTTATAGATCAGAAATTGTACTGCAGGAAATGCAGAGCTCAATCACAACAGGGCTTAGTGGGTTTTTGGCTGGAAGTGCCAGAAGTAGTGCAGCACCTTTCTCTGGGCAGCAATGGAGCTGATGTGTAATCTTTTCTGCTGGCTAACATCCATAATTCTGAGTCTACACAGCCTGTCCTGGCTCACACTTTTTCCTCATTCCACATTTATATGCCTTAGCGATCAGATGTCACAGGACCAGGGTTTTAGGGGACCTGAAACAGTAGGTGCTGCAGTACTATAGTCCCTCCACACACAAACCTATCCATGACTTCTCTATGGCCATACAAAAGCCCACAGCAGAGC